CACTGCCTCAACTACTAGGCTGGGAGGTGAGGGGGGCCACACACTGCTGGGCTGGAGGTGACTACCAGGCTGGGAGGTGGGGGGCTACTGCCTCACACTGGGCTGGGAGGTGGGGGCCACGCTCCCTCAACTACTAGGCTGGGTGAGGGGTGAGGGGGCCACACACCTCAACTACTAGGCTGAGGTGGGGGGCCACACACCTCAACTGCTACTGGGGGTGGGGGGCACGCCGCCTCTCAGCTACTAGGCTGGGAGGTGAGGGGGGCCACACACTCCCCTCAACTACTAGGCTGGGAGGTGAGGGGGCCACCACCTCAACGGCTGGGAGGTAGGCTGGGAGGTGAGGGGGCCACACACTGCCTCAACTACTAGGCTGGGAGGTGAGGGGGGCCACACACTAACCTAACCTAACCTTACCTGCCGACGACGGGTCCATTCCATCTGCTTAATTTCATTGGCTAGCGTTAGTGTAGCGAGGGAGGGTGGATGGGAGGGTGGGTGGGAGGGAACGTGGCGTGGATGGGTGGGCGAATGGATATCCAGGAGAGAGGGAGGAAGGAAGGAAGGAAGGAAGGAAGGAAGGAAGGAAGGATGAAGGAAAGAGAAGAGATAGGTTACCTGAAAAATACAATTAACATCACACACACACACACACACAAACTTATCTTTAACATTCCATAAGTAAAATCATTCCTCAATTCAGTAGCTCTCTCTCTCTCTCTCTCTCTCTCTCTCTCTCTCTCTCTCTCTCTCTCTCTCTACCAACTCACATTTATCGTTTATTCACTTCATAAACTTTCTATTTTTAATCAAACTTTTTTTTTTACCTACGTTTCCAGTTTTAAATTAATTAAATTCTAAAAGTTTGAAAAGTTAGAATAAATGTAAGAGAGAGAGAGAGAGAGAGGACTTAGTCGATTTTACCAAGTCATGTTATCCTCTTTCCTCTTCCTCCTCCTTCTCTTCCTTTCTCTCTCCTCCTTCTCTTCCTTCTCTTCCTCCTCCTTCTTCCTTCTCTTCCTACCTCTCCTTTATCTTCCTTCCTTATTATACATCATTGGTGTCATCTGTTGTCTCTAAATACTTATCTCTGTCTTCCTTAGTTCTCTCTCTCTCTCTCTCTCTCTCTCTTTCTTCTTCTCTCTCTCTCTCTCTCTCTCAAAGCAGTGAACAACGCCAGTGCGAGCAATGAACAGTGCCTGGCGATCCCTTTCACTCCTTGGAATGACAGAACTTAACTTAATGTTACGCCAGACTAACATTTGCTCGCCTTCTGCCCGTAATGGCGATCTGTTAATGATAAAAAGAGCTGATTAAGCCTCGCCAGACTAACGGACGCTCGCCTTCTGCCTGCAGTGGCGCTGTTTTATGCTAAAGAGCCTGACCATCCCTCCCTACCCCCCCACCCCCCACCCCCCCACCCCCCCCCCACCCCTGGCTCCTTACCTCTCCCACCAAAATCATTAGATCACTCGGGGTCGTGTTGTTGACAGTGTGCCGGACATCTTACCCGGGTCCTGTGTGTGTGTGTGTGTGTGTGTGTGTGTGTGTGTGTGGGTGTGTGGGGTCAGGTCATCAATGAAATAAGTAAATCGCCGAGGAATTTGTTTTGTCGTGTTTTTATTTTTTTTTTTTTTAATTTATTCCTTGTTTTTCTTACAATTTATTCGTGTTTGTGTTTTTCTTCCGTTTTTTTAGTAACTTTTAACTTTTTTACTTTTCGTTTTCATTACAAACTTTTATTCTACTTTTTTATTTTATTTTTGACAGACAGACAGACAGACAGACAGACAGACAGACAGACAGACAGACATACACTTACATATACAGGTATTATAGAGACAGACAGGCTTATATAGACAGACAGACATAAACTTACATATAGACAGACAGACAGACAGACAGACAGACAGACCTTTAAAAGACTCGCTAAGTGTCATCAGGACTTTTGCAAAACGTCAAGAAATGATAATTAAATCGGTAACTCTCTCTCTGTGTGTGGGTGTGTGAGAGAGAGCAGCTCAGTTTGCTGCCAACACTACCACCACTATTACCACTATTACCACTACCAATACTGCCGACACTACCACCACTGCCGACACTACCACCACTGCCAACACTACCACTACTACCACCACCGCCACAACCAACACTCACTACTACCACCACCGCCACCACCAACACTACCACACTACCAACACTACCACAGTACAACACCACCACACTCACCACCACCACCACCACCACTACTAGCCTGGTCGACTGAGGAACCAAAATACTGCTGAATCCATTAATCCATTGACCAATTAGGTTGACAGTTGAAGATGATTGATGATGGGCTTTCATTTTGGTGAGATGGGATGCTGAAGGAGAGGGGGGAGAGGGAAGTGAGAGGGAGAGTGAGAGGAAGAGGGATAAATGTGCTTGGATTTCCAGAGAGTTGAGAAGAATTGTGAAGAATAAATGGTGGAGAGAGAGAGAGAGAGAGAGAGAGAGAGAGAGAGAGAGAGAGAGAGAGAGAGGAGAGAGAGAGAGAGAGAGAGAGAGAGAGGTGGATTGATTTGCTTTGGGTGAATAACTATCACCACCACCACCACCACCATACTTTCCAATAACACACCATCATCACTACACTAACACAACCACACTCACATCACACCACACCACCACACTACACTACCACCACCACACTACAGCCAGTTCCAAGGTAGTCATTATAAATATCACCCATGAACGATTAGTGACGAGATAACTATGGTGTGAAGGTCAAGGCTGAGGTGGGAGGAAGGTCAAAGAGGTGGGAGAAGGTCAAGGGGAGGTGGAGGAAGGTTAAGGGTGAGGTGGAGAAGGTCAAGGGTGAGGTGGAGTAAGGTCAAGGGTGAGGTGGAGTGAAGGTCAAGGGTGAGGTGGAGTGAAGGTCAAGGGTGAGGTGGTGTTTATCTTCTGAAAAACAATGGAATTTCATATGGTTACAATACGTGTTGCCTATCCCACACATAACACAGTCACGGGTACTGAGATGAGTAGGGCTTCAGGGCTTCAGGGCTTCGACTAAGTATATAGAAACCTTTCCTTCTCACTCTACCAACCACTTTACGAGTCATTTCTTCCCATTTAACAATAGGTAAATAAACAGACGTCACGCAGCAGGGATCAGCGCCATCTACATATAGTGAGACATACTGTACTCCAAGACATCACGCAGCAGGGATCAGCGCCATCTACATATAGTGAGACATACTGTACTCCAAGACATCACGCAGCAGGGATCAGCGCCATCTACATATAGCGAGACATACTGTACTCCAAGACTTCACGCAGCAGGATCAGCGCCATCTACATATAGTGAGACATACTGTACTCCAAGACTTCACGCAGCAGGGATCAGCGCCATCTACATATAGCGAGACATACTGTACTCCAAGACATCACGCAGCAGGGATCAGCGCCATCTACATATAGTGAGACATACTGTACTCCAAGACATCACGCAGCAGGGATCAGCGCCATCTACATATAGTGAGACATACTGTACTCCAAGACGTCTACATTGATATGCTAGAGTAAGAGTTCCTTCTCTATGGTTATATTTTATTGGGTAGAAGAGCAGTACACGTCCACCTGCCTGGCGGTACACAGTGTTATTATTCTTGTGTGTGTTTTACGGTGTTCATGTCCCACTCACGAGAATTATTACTGCATTCTCTCTATCACTGCTCTATCTCCTTCTCTCCTTCCCTCTCACTGTCCTCTTTCACCTCCTTCGTGTTCTCTCACCCTCTTCCTATCACTGCCTCTCCCTCTCTCTATCACTGCCCTCTCTCTCTTCTCCCCTTCCTCTCATACAACCAATTCAAACTCTAAAATTCAAATTTCCGTCATTCATTTATAAAACCCAGACTTCACCAAACCTCGTCTTCTCTCTCTCTCTCTCTCTCTCTCTCTCTCTCTCTCACCTGATGATAAAGACCACCTCGACTTATACAAGGTAAAATGTGTCCTTTTTGGGAAAAAATTGCATGGTAAATGGCCCCTTGATCTTCATGGGTTGTATTGTACCGTACTGTTGTTATTTGCTTTATAGGTCAATCGTTTGTTTAATTTAGTGTTGCTTGTTGTTTGTGTGGTTTTAATTGATTATACAGCTGTTTTGTTTTTGTTTTGACACGACGGGTTTTGTTTGTTTTATAAACCCTTTGATGTGTCTGTGTGTGTGTGTGTGTGTTTACATTAACTTTGATCGTTTACTTGATTTAACTTTTGGCGTTGTTGATCCCAATAGCCACGTTTGTTGACACATTACCTGAGTCGTTACGTTAATTACAGGTGTTCTGCTGGTGTTTATCCCGGTCACAGGTATTCATCCCGGTTCACAGGTGTTAATCCCGGTCACAGGTTTAAATAATTCACCTTTGAACGTCTCGTCTCGAAAATGTCACCGCTCATAACTGATTATTAATGTTGTTTCTACATAATAAAAATCTTGATCTTTAAGCTGTTAGTAGCGTTTTAAGCTTATTGCATCTGGGTTAATACAGCTTAACCTTAGTGGGGGTTTTTTCTATCTTGTGTTTTAATTAAGGTTTTATCAAATTCATGTTTCGAGACACAGTGGCAGGTAAGTTGTTGTGTATTTGGTCACCAGAGTAAGGTGATCTATCATTTTGGAGTCAGTTCCCAGCCTCAGATATTGGGGTCTTGGTGTCACGTATATATCAGACAGGCAGGGAGGGATGCATGGTGTTGAGGGCTGGTTCATGCAGGCTGGGGGTGCGGGAGGAGGGATGTGAGCGGGCCAGGGGTGTGGGGGAGGGTGGGGGGGGGTGAGGAGTCGGGATGGGCGGGGTGAGAGGAGTGGGATGAGCGGGCCGGGTGCGGAGGAGTCGGGGATGGGAGCGGGCCAGGGGTGCAGGAGTCGGGGATGGGCGGGCCAGGGGTGCGGGGGATGAGCGCAGGTGCAGAGGAGTCGGGATGGGAGTGGCCAGGGTGAGAGGTCGGGGATGGCGGGCCAGGGGTGCGAGGAGTCGGGGATGGAGCGGCCAGGGGTGGGAGGAGTCGGGGATGGAGCGGCCAGGGGTGCAGAGGAGCGGGTGTGGCGGGCCGTGCGGAGAGGAGTCGGGGATGGAGCGGGCCAGGGGTGCGAGAGGAGTCGGGGATGGGAGCGGGCCAGGGTGCGGGAGGAGTCGGGGATGGGAGCGGGCCAGGGTGCGGGGTCGGGATGGGAGCGGGCCAGGGGTGCGGGAGGGGGATGTGAGCGGGCCAGGGGTGCGAGAGGAGTCGGGATGGGAGGGCCAGGGTGCGAGAGGAGTCGGGTTGTAGCGCGGGGTGCAGGAGTAGGGATGAGCGGCAGGGTGCGGAGGAGGGGGATGTGAGTCAGGATGCGGAGGAGTCGGGTATATATATTTTTTTTTCTCACATTCTATCATTTACTGTACAATGAAAGGTTTCATATTGTTATATAACTCAGCTAAGTACTGGTCTCCGCGTTAAACCACACCTGAAAAAAAAAATTAACTTCCCTCTTCTATATACGAATACATCAGCCACATCAGGAAGGACGGGTGACACAGCTTCTCTACCCCCCAAAAAAGTTGTGTGTTTGAGCTATCGGTAACCAGTAACCCGGTAACCAGTAACCCGGTAACCAGTAATTCCGTCCGGTAACCAGTAACTCCCGGTAACCAGTAACTCCCGGTAACCAGTAACTCCCGGTAACCAGTAACTCCCGGTAACCAGTAACTCCCGGTAACCATAACCTTCCCGCAGTGTACTTGATTGCCGCTGCGTACACCCGGATGGGAAAATTGGACTATGTAAACATATAACCACAGCGGAGTGAGTTGTGTGCACCGCCACCCCTTTAACCTCACCACCTTGTACCCTCCACCACCCCTTGTACCCTCCGCCACTTTCAGCCCTCCCACCACACACACACATATACCGTGTACCACTAGAATATTTACTACGTTCACGACATGAGAGGGAGGCAGGATGAGAGAGAGAGAGAGAGAGAGAGGGAGGCAGGATGAGAGAGAGAGTGAGAGAGGTGTGATGTTATTGTGTGTGTCGGTATCTCGTGTGTACATACATACATACATACATAGATACAGTCAGGGTCATTACTATGTGCCGGTGGTGATGGTCACTATGGTCGAGAGGTCAGGCATAAGATACATTGACCTAAGGACTGTTTTAGAATGGTACATCAAAGGTCAAGTAAATAACAATTTCGGCTATTTTTATTTCATTCAGGATGTCCGTGTTTTAAGGGGTGATGGCTAACGTTGTAGCAGCACACGTATGGTAATTTGAGTTTGTCTGTCAATATTTTTTAGTACATGATCACTTTCCTTCGTTAATTGTCGTGTTTAAGCTGTACAGAGGGCATCACCAGGGTTGCCTCTCTCAACACAATATGTTGTCGTCGTGTGGCACTGGTGCTTCGTCTTCCTCCAGACCACTTACACACATTTCCAACCATCGTTACGTGTCTAACTCGTGTACCTCTCCAAACCCAGTCGTATACATGTCCAACACACTCCAGGATTATGTTCAACCAATTTGAGGAAATGTCCAATATATACAGCGTTTATGTCGCCTAAAACAGATGTACTGTACACTAGGTCTGTCTCCCGTACTGTACACTGGGTCTGTCTCCCGTACTGTACACTAGGTCTGTCTCCCGTACTGTACACTGGGTCTGTCTCCCGTACTGTACACTAGGTCTGTCTCCCGTACTGTACACTGGGTCTGTCTCCCGTACTGTAATTGGGTCTGTCTCCCGTACTGTACACTAGGTCTGTCTCCGTACTGTACAATAGGGTCTGTCTCCCGTACTGTACACTGGGTCTGTCTCCCGTACTGTACACTAGGTCTGTCTCCCGTACTGTACACTGGGTCTGTCTCTGTACTGTACACTAGGGTCTGTTCCCGACTGTACACTAGGTCTGTCTCCTGTACTGTACACTAGGTCTGTCTCCCCGTACTGTACACTAGGTCGTCTCCCGTACTGTACACTAGGTCTGTCTCCCGTACTGTACACTGGGTCTGTCTCCCGTACTGTACACTAGGTCTGTCTCCCGTACTGTACACTAGGTCTGTCTCCCGTACTGTACACTGGGTCTGTCTCCTACTGTACACTAGGTCTGTCTCCCGTACTGTACACTGGGTCTGTCTCCCTGCCAGGTCTGTCTCCTACTGCACTGGGTCTGTCTCCCGTACTGCACTAGGTCTGCCCCGTACTGTACACTGGGTCTGTCTCCCGTACTGTACACTAGGTCTGTCTCCGTACTGTACACTGGGTCTGTCTCCCGTACTGTACACTAGGTCTGTCTCCTACTGTACACTGGGTCTGTCTCCCGTACTGTACACAGGGTCTGTCTCCCGTACTGTACACTAGGTCTGTCCCTGTACTGTACACTAGGTCTGTCTCCGTACTGTACACTGGGTCTGTCTCCCGTACTGTACACTGGGTCTGTCCCCGTACTGTACACTGGGTCTGTCTCCCGTACTGTACACTGGGTCTGTCTCCCGTACTGTACACTAGGTCTGTCTCCGTACTGCACTAGGTCTGTCTCCCCGTACTGTACACTGGGTCTGTCTCCCGCACTGTACACTGGGTCTGTCTCCCATGTACACTGGGTTGTCTCCTGTACTGTACACTAGGTCTGCTCCCGTACTGTACACCAGGTCTGTCTCCGTACTGTACACTGGGTCTGTCTCCCGTACTGTACACTGGGTTCGTCTCCCGTACTGTACACTGGGTCTGTCTCCGTACTGTACACTGGGTCTGTCTCCCGTACTGTACACTAGGTCTGTCTCCCGTACTGTACACTAGGTCTGTCTCCCTGTACTGTACACTAGGTCTGTCTCCCGTACTGTACACTAGGGTCTGTCTCTCCCGTACTGTACACTAGGTCTGTCTCCCGTACTGTACACTGGTCTGTCTCCTGTAGTCTGTACACTGGGTCTGTTCCCGTACTGTACACTGGTCTGTCCCCGTACTGTACACTAGGTCTGTCTCCCGTACTTGTACACTAGGGTCTGTCTCCCGTACTGTACACTAGGTCTGTCTCCCGTACTGTACACTGGGTCTCCTCTGTACACTAGGTTTGTCTCCCGTACTGTACACTAGGTCTGTCTCCCGTACTGTACACTAGGTCTGTCTCCCGTACTGTACACTAGGTCTGTCTCCCGTACTGTACACTGGGTCTGTCTCCCGTACTGTACACTAGGTCTGTCTCCCGCTTAGATTGATCCCTTAGTGGCCAGCTTATACCTTCAAGTAATTAATTTTATATTTAAGCTACACTGTAATACGATGGGCCCAGCAGACTACCCTCCCTATCACCCTCATGGTGGGCTGGGTGTTGTGTTGTGGTGGGCTGGATGTTGTGTTGTGGTGGGCTGAGTGTTGTGTTGTAGTGGGCTGAGTGTTGTGTTGTAGTGGGCTGGGTGTTGTGGTGGTGGATGGTGTTGTGTTGGTGGGCTTGGTATGGTGGGGCTGGGTGTTGTTTTGGTTGGCTGGATGTTGTGTTGTGGTGGGCTGGGTGTTGTGGTGAACTGGGTGTTGTGTTGTGGTGGGCTGAGTGTTGTGTTGTAGTGGGGCTGAGTGTTGTGTTGTAGTGGGCTGGGTGTTGTGTTGGTGGGCTTGGTATTGTGGTGGGCTGGGTGTTATTTTGGTGGGTTCGGTGTCGTGTTTTGGTGGGTTGGGTGACTCAGTATGGTATTAACAGGCTTCTACTTGACAGTCCAATGATTGATGGTGACAAATCCTAGCGTGTGTGTACAGTACAGTAGGCTACAGGTCCTATAGTAAACAGTACTGTCTCACCCCACAACTATTGATTCAAACCTTAAAAGGAAAACAAACAAGAAAAAATGGTAAGGTTAGTACTGCAATCAGTCACCTTGTTAGTAAAATATCCCAGGTTGATTGGAGGCAGATAATGACCTTCTTGTGCAGTAACGACCAGGTGATGAGGTCAAATTGATCGTTGTTATGGGGAGGAAGAGTGAAATACAGTCATTCTAAGATTATGTGAACCAATGCACACACACACACACACACACACACACACACACACACACACACACACACACACACACACACACACACACACACACACACATACCTTACCTCCTTGAAACCAATAAATACGTCAAGAGCATCATTAAGGAGGGACAAACGGCGTGTTACCGGGGACCTGGGCGGCAGATGAGCGTCTTCCTCAGGTGTTCCGATATCCCTAACCAGATCTTCCTGCCCTCGACCGATTCCCGATACCGATTTACTGCTGGTTGACACGGTTTTGATGCTAGTCGACACGGTTTATATAATATTCGACACGGTTTTGATGCTAGTCGACACGGTTTAGATGCTAGTCGACACGGTTTAGATGCTAGTCGACACGGTTTTGTTGCTGGTCGACACGGTTTAGATGCTAGTCGACACGGTTTAGATGCTAGTCGACACGGTTTAGATGCTAGTCGACACGGTTTAGATGCTAGTCGACACGGTTTAGATGCTAGTCGACACGGTTTAGATGCTAGTCGACACGGTTTAGATGCTAGTCGACACGGTTTTGTTGCTGGTCGAATATGAAACTAAAGGAGCCTTGGGCAATGGTTTCTTCTAGTGACTGGATATTTTTACACTTTTCATACATGTGTTTGTCATTACCGGTACAGTCGCCTGCACTAACACCTGGTACAGTGGCTGTCATTACCGGTACAGTCGCCTGCACTAACACCTGGTACAGTGGCTGACGCATTCTGTGAGATGTGGCAACTCTGTGGAAGGTTTATTTAGTATCCTTAGTTTGGTTACTATTTCGAGGTTTCTTAGGGCCATTCTGGGAGTTTTAATACGATGTAAACAAACACAGAGCTGTCACATCTCACCAAACGCTTCAGCTACTGTACCAGGTGTAAGTGGAGGTGAGAGAGAGAGAGAGAGAGAGAGAGAGAGAGAGAGGGGATCACAACCAAACAGTTTACACGGGTCACCCTCGATATTGGTTTCTGATAAAGGCATGTGACCAGGGTCGGTCTTGATTAATTATTGATGTTCTTACCGGGAGAAGGGGCAGTGGCGTCTCTTAACTCCGCCCCGGCCACCTGATGCTACCATACACAACTTACCTACCATACAACCATACACCACTTACCTATCATACAGCCATACACGACTCAATTACCATATAAACCCGAGGAGTGGGTGCGTGTGGTGCTTTGTGTTTTGCCTGTCAGTGTACCATAGTGAGCTCCCAGAAGCACCGGCTGAAGGCATCGATGTACGGCTGTTCAATAAGTAATACGTAATTGTTTTTGTTATATTTTATTTTACTCGTTGATCTGTTGTTATGGTCGT